TTAAACCCAGCTCTGCTCACTGGCAAAACTGAGGAGGAAGGGTGTAGGGGAGAAGTTATGTCAGCCAATGTTGCTGCTGAAAAGAAAAGGTTCTGTGGGACCTCCTAAAGCTGTTGCTGCCACAGCGGGAAAGCGTTATGTGGAGCTGATCTGTGTGTAGTGACAAGTGGAAGAAGTTGGGTAATGTGCCAGACAAACACCGTCAGGGTCAGTACGAGCTGTCATTTCCTAGCAGTCTGTTCAGCCTCTAATACATGGGAGCAAGTTATAGAGATGGCAAACTGTGGTTGCATAATTCTGTTATACAGCTTAGATCCCCTCAGATGAATACTGAACTGTAAATCATGAGTGCCTCTGATTTACAAAAATGTTTATTGCATAGTGTATAGTGTAAAATCTATTTTATAAATAATGATGATCACTGAAAAGGGAAACTAACTGAAGCAGTATTTATGTTAACTGTAAACAGGCATTACTAAATCCTCTAGCTGTATGGTCAGTGGTTTCCCAATGCTCTTCAGTCTGTTTTATGCTGATTAGTTTGGCATTGTCTGAATAAAAAAATGAGAATAGTTGCACACTGCTCAACTCAACAAATAATGTAAAGGACTGCGGGCCATAATCAAAATGCTGTCCGTTGGTACAAACATTGTTTCGGCGAGAGATAGTTTGATTGTAATACTAAAGAGAGTGAGAGCAAGATTCCCCGGTAAGCAAGGACTCATAATCACTTTGGAAGATGTGTTATGCAAATGCAGCTTGCAGGTCTGATACCTCACCGGCCTCTTTTCCTGTCCGCTTTGTGTACCTGGCGTAATGGATGTGGGTTTTTTTGTTGGCCATCTCAATTCCTCCATAAGATGTCTTCTAGGTCATCACTTACTGACAACAGACATCAAGATGTTGATATGAAACACAGGTTAATTCTCCCAGAATTTGCATAGCTTTGGTACTTCAGTGACCGGTACTTGTATGCTACATTGCTTTGAAGTGCCATAGAAAGCTGGAAGGTCAGTAAGGGTTTTTTTTTAATATTACTTTTTCTATTACTACAACAAATACGCCTTTCCATGAAGGATATGAGAGGCCTACCATCTGAAACATTTGCACTATGCTTTTGAACAGTTTGTCAAACACAGAGACAACTTTCTCCTGAGTGTACATTTTTAGGTGGTATTGTAACTGGCTTTGTGGTTAAAGTCTTCATTGCAACTAGATTTGTATTTCCTTTTAAACCAAGTCTACGAGTGTGGCTCATTTGTCTGGTTAAAATGCATTCTTTGGCAATTAGGTATCTCTGCAGCCATCAACAGCCTGTTCTCCTTTTTCTCTTCTTAATAAGATGTTGAATGTAACAGTGAAAATGGGCATAGTTGTGGGGAAAAAGGCCTGCGGCAACATATGCACTGTTTGTTACTTGCAAATGTAATTATTTTGTTCTGTGAGTTGATCTTTCTGTTCTTAGATGATGTATATATTTTCTAAATGATTTCTTTGTGTATATAAGGTATGTTCTTTAATGAAGAAAAGCAATGCAATAAGGAGCTTTGCACAGTTTGTTTTCAAACAAAATACATTTTAAAAAAAATCACCTGCCTAAAGATGCAGTCGTTTCAACTTCTCAGTAACTTGATTTGAAGGTAATGCTTGAATTTTGATAAAAACAGAGATGAGTGGTGAGGGCATAGAATTACTTGCCACTGAGCTTTTTAAGTTTCTTGCAGCATACCAAATCTCTTAATTAGCTATTAAGGAAGATTTCTGTAATAAATTCAGGGATTACATACATTTTGACAACTTTATTGTTCAGGTGCTTGAGAGTATCTGTAACATGATGCATGAGATTTTCTTTCATTGAGCAAGTGTCCCTATCAAGCAAACTTTCTTTTCCTCATGGGTTTAAGGAAAAAAAAATGCTGCGATACATCAGAAGTCTGCAGCTACCACTGTACATGCAGCAGATTAGAGAAAACAGAAAACTTAACCAGGTTTGGAATTCTGTATGACCTGCACTTTATAATAAAGCCGTTTTGCAACTTCAATCAGCAATCAGTCATTAACGTTACTTCATTTAGTAAAGAATTTCATTTGGGAAAAAAGGTACCTTGTAACAGCTTACTTCTGAGTGTTTAAAAAAGCTAGGATGGCACGTAGAGAACTGTTGATACATCCCCTGTACATCATGTTTGAATTAGTTTTACGTAGTTATTAAGTTTGTTTTGTTTAGATACGTGTATCAAACTGGAACTTTTTCAACTGTAAATACATGGTTTTGTTAAATAAAGTCATGTAAAGTTATCTTAATCACCTACTGTCGGTGTAATTCAGAAATTAAAAATTCCAGTACCTGTCTGTTTCTTCACAGGCTTCTTTAGCAGTTTTTGCCTGTCCAAAATCAGGACTTTGGGACATCTGAGTATTGTAGGTGGAGGATTTTTTGGCGATGCTTTCAAAGTTTCTCATTTTAAAACACCCGTTATATTACACGTGACATTTAGAAGATTTGATACTTAATGGTGCCCCTGGTTTAATCAATTTCATATGCCTTTCTTTGGAGTAGGTCTGAGATCTGATATATTTATTACAAAAAACAGATATAGGTACATCTTTGAGGTGCGCAGAACTCAGAAATGCGGAATACCTTATCATTTTCTTGTTTTAAATGAAGAAATCTTGGTTTATTGCAAGTTAAATAATCGCAAAGCATTTTTGTGCTCAACTTAAGGCAGTATTCTGTTAATTCTTCCATAGTAATAAGTTCAGAGCTTAAAGCGGAGAAGCTTCTTGTTGCTTACTTAACTGAAAAGAGGTTAAAGTGCCAAATAAAAGATAGATAAAAGCAGGAGAGAGGAGACAGTACCTGTGCAACAAGGCTACGTGGGGAACGCAGTCAAAGACTTGGCTGCCATGGTTCTAGCTTCTCTGGTAAACATATCTCTCTCTTCCTTGTACTGAAGTATCTTAACTGTTGGATTTGCTGGATTAGAACGTAAAATCAGGATTGCTTCATGTAAGCCTATGCCAATTTGATACTGATAGAGCTTTGTACTGTACATATTACAGGAATTGCACAAAATATTTATTTTTCCTTACCTGTTTTCCCAGTTGTCATTCCAGTCTGAAGAGAAGTGAAATACTTTCCTGCATGCCAGCACATGAGATTAGGAAATAAAAGGACATCGGTCCTTGCTGCTTCTTGGTGGAATGTCTTCCTATGCTTACAGGAGGAAAATGGAGGAATCCTTGACCTTCATCCTCAGGGTGCTTTGGAAGGCTGGGGTAGCGGTGGGTTGTCTCAGCAACTCGGCACTAAGAAAAAAAGTCCTGGAGACTGTATGTGAAGTTTAAGCAAACATCTCAATAGTATTTGTTTCCGTAGAAACACTCAGTACAGGGAATACAGTGTCAACCTCACTGACACCCTAAATTCCTGCCTTCTCCAGGTGCCAAACATGCAGCAATGAAAAGCATCTATGATTTACTTTCCCTGCTTCTCCTCCCTTTATCTGCCTACATTTGTTGCTTAATAGCGTTTAAGAAGTTAAAGGAAGGTTTATATGTCTTAAGCCAAAAGCAGCAAGAAGTGTAAGAATTTTCCTGGCAGGAATTTTTAAGTCATTGAAACAGGGAAGCGTAACTTCTCTTAGGGAGATGACTGCTGACCATCCTTAATTATTTAGGAAAACAGTTCCGTGGAACACCAGGAGGCTACTTGACTTGTGCGATAACTCCTCTCTCAGCAGGAGAAGAGCTCGCTTGAGGTAACAAGGCTTAAAATGAAAGATTCTGAGTTTGGTGTCTCTCTTTTAAGGTAAGTGGTTGGCAGTTACGCTTGTCTGCTTTTACTGTCCAGCAGCAACAGACAGAGGTAGATCTATTGGTATTTTGTGAAAAGTTTTTGAATATTAGTTGTGTAGTGTCTTTTCATGAGTAGAGTGTTTGAGCTACTGAACAACTTCAGTTGTTTGCAGAACAAGAGCCTGTGCTGTTCCACTCTGTTCATGCAACAGTTGTGCAGGGCTGGAAGGGCCTCAGAAGAACACAACCAAATCGCTGCTGCATGACTGCAGTGAGAGCAGGACATTACTGATCTCTTCTCTCATTTTGCTATGACAGAAGAACAAGATTTAAACCTTCAATAGTGTAATAACCACTTTTAATTAAGTTTTGTCTTTTAAATATCCAGGTAATTCAGAAAACCTAGTTCAGAGATAGTTTAAAAGAGAAAGGTGTAAGCATGTCTGCATGTATATCTACTTTCTGTCCCCACATACGTGCGTTCAGTGACCTGTGTACGTTGTTTAAATGCATATGTAACTTATTTTGGAATTAGAACCAGCAGCTCAAATACAGCTCAGCAATACTGGTCTCACAGGGTGGAACTCCAACCTGTGGTGGAAAACCAAAAGACTCCATTCCTAGTCTTTCCTGCTGGGATGTGCCACCTTCCCTGCAAAATTCACAGCCTTCAAACACTTTGAGTCTGGGCCTTTAATGCCCACCTCTGACTGCCAAAAATGGGACTAAAGATTGCTGGTCTAAGCAAAGTAGTGGTGTCACACATAGAAATGAACAATTAACCAGGTAGGACTGATGGAATAATTGGGCACATCAGCTAGAGCCCACCAGGGTTGCATTTCCTTCAGTAATGAGAACATAGTATGTAGAGCTCCAACATTTTACTGGCCTAAGATGTTTCTGTGTTCTTGACATCCCTCCCATGCCTTAAATTAAAAGACAATGCTACATTAGCAGCAACAAGAGCTGTGGCACACAGATCATTCTCATAGCCGCTGTTTGTCATGGGGGAATTGCAGTTCAGATTTTATTTTGGAAGGGGAAGCTGCTTCCTGTAACTAAAGCTCTGTGAGCTGTACAGTCGTAAATGTTTGTCCTTCCCTCCCCTCATCGGTCTTGTTTTTTTCTGGAATTCTGATACTCTATAGTTGAGCAGTGCAGAGGGGACTGAAATGGTGAAGGACTCGTGCTACTCTACCTCTTCACACACCATGAATAAGGACAAGGCTGATGGCTCCCTAAAACTGCAAAAGCTGAAAGATCAAAAAATGTAAAACTCTAGGTTTGAGTGATAAGATTTATATATATGTGCTATGAAAATAATTCTTAAAGTAATTAACCTTTCTTCTCGTGCACCCCCAAGGCAGACTTGGCAGCCAAGTATATTTACAGAATGGGCGAGGGTAGTACGCTGGCTGTATGCGGGTGACGGCGGGTACGGGCAATAGGCTTCTCTCCAGTTCTCGGCCACATCTATGAAAATGACGCCTCACGCTGCGCCCGGAAGGCAGGTATGCTGGTTGTACAGGTGAAGTTGCTGCTGAATTCTAAGACCCATACAGAGGGGGTGGCAGGATCAGGATTTGAGCGAGGGTATGGTGAGTGTTCTGCTTAAACAGGATTGCTGCAGCCTTAAAGGGCTGAGTGGCCTACTCAAAGTGTAGGCTTTTTTGCCTGTGGCTTTTTTTTTTTTTTTTTTTAAGATGGGCACATGTATATGGTTTCATTCAAAATGAGAAACTACCATAATCTCTTCATTGAATGCATAATACTGACCCATCACTTAAAAAAGGCCTTTCTGGGAGTACATGCGCAATGTATTCCTCGGGATTTGCAAAAAAAAAAACTCAACCATGTTAAAAATTAGAATTACAGAAAACTCCTTTGTTTTGTTTCTTTGCCATGCCTTCTTTTCTTTAGTCA